ACCACAAACAGGCAGCGCTACAATACGTCGCTTCTGGAGAACGCCCTAGCCCTAGCTAATCCTTTATCATTTCTCGTCATACTCGAGGTTCTGGTTCATTCTTTGACTGCTCTGCTCCTGAAAAAATAAAGAGACTTGTAGCGCCCCGCTTATGAGAAACACCCTAGTTACCCCTTGCTTATTTTTCACTGTACCCGGGTTTCGGTACAACGCGTTGCTTCTGAGGAACGCCCTAGCATAAGTAGATACTGTAGGTTCAGGATTTATGATAAGTTTTGGCAAAATTTTACGTTGGCTGCCTACCTAACACAACACCCTTTTACCCAGCATGGGACGAGTTTAAAGGAAAGTTTAAGGGCATCACTCTTCTTATTCTATGCTAAGGTCAAGAGGATGCATGTGGAAAAATGGCCCAAACAAAATGTTCCTACCAACAAAAAATGGCTGGAGGCGAACATGTATGATGTTATCCTTTAGGTTGATGATAGAAGATTTTTTGATATACACAAGAAGCGGATAGACGAGGAGGTGATCCTAGGCACCTATGCTGTAATTTTGCTTCTCATGGTTCTTGTCTCTGTTGTGCACACTTTTGATTGAGTTGTAAAGGATGAGATTGCAATTGAATTGTGATTTTGTACATGTAAGTATTTAATGAAATTGCATAAGAATTATATGTTCTGAATTTTTCATATGTAAAAGTTGTGTTGTATGCAAGCAATCTCATTGTATCTAAATGATGTTTCGCTTTTTTTATGAGAATCAATCCTACTACTAAAAACATGTTGAGGCCGTTTTAAGATGTATATGATGTTTTTCATTGGTGTTAATCAAAGAATTAAGTGATTGTAACAATGAGATATGGCATTACATTTATAAAAAGGTGCAAAAGCAAAAGTGTATATACGTATCTAGCATAAAATTTTTAAGTGTTGTATATCAAGCGACCGGTATCTACATCTAACAAATTTTTTTTTTCCTTCTATAAATGTGTAATTGTTGAACGAGAAATATAGAAGAGAAGAATTTATGGGTCTTATGAAAGACTTTTCAAAGTAGACTTCCCTGCAGATCCTGAGAGGGCATTAATATTTCAATCCCCTTTTTTTTTTCTATGCTTTTGGTTTATTTATTTTTTCGTATCCCACCTCCCTACATCAAATAGTACCAGCGCTTCAAAATATCCATCCATCATGATGCTGCCAAGGCTTGCTCTTTCAATTGAGGTCATATTGTTGCAACATAAAGGTTGTGAAACAACAAAGTAAAAAGGGCATAAATCAAGCCTTGGAAGATATACTTGTGGAAATTGGTGAAATTGGAGGTGAGATCGGGGAACTTTGAGGAGATATCGGCAAAATAAATCAACAATTGCGACATTAGAAATATCAATTGTCAAGAAGAGGTTGCTCGCAATCTATAGATCTGGCACCAAATCTCACCCTAGGGATTAATCGAGCTCCACTACCTACTCCTATGGTCGATTCCATACGTAATGAGCAATTTTTGAAGCAAGAACCATGCCTTAAGGAATGTCAACATGATTGCTGTATCGAGGCCAATCTTCCGGAATTTCACAAGGAGCTTGAAAGAGAAATCGAAGCTATGTTTGACATCCCAATCTTTCACTACAAGTTGTAGATTAAGTATTTGATTAATTGGTTCATAGAAGAAGACAAAGTACCTGGGCAAATGGTGCAACTTCATCACCAACCATTGAAATGGCTTTTGAAGGTTGCAATGAACACAATAATCTCGAGGTTGAGCTTCTCCCAACCCCAACACAATGATGTAATTAAGGTTTTTATTTTTATTTTTATTTTGTAGGAGTTTGAAATTTAGGCTCGGGATTATTTGGGTTTCTAGTTTTCTTTTAGGGTATATGTGTCTTTCTATGCTATAGAGAATTGATGGTTGGAATTGAAAGTTAATTTTTAAGGGATGAATGATTAGGATTTAATATTTGATTTAGGGTTTCGTAGGGGGCAAGGTCTATTGTTTTTTACTTTTCTTTCCCTTTTGTAAATATGCAAGTGTTGAACAAAAAACGTCGAAGAAAAGAATTTGTTTTGGATCTTATAAAAAAAGATCTTTTTGGGATAGACTTCCTTGCAGACCCCGAGAGATGATATAATCTTTCAATCCTTTATTTTTATTAGTGTTTTAGAACCCAGTAATTTTCAACTGGGGTCGTCGATCTGAATGTCGATTCAATCGGGACCGAAGATGTTCTGGAATCCCACGATGCAAGATAACGAATGTCAACTTTTATTTTGGCATGTAACCCCTCCCACGTACAGGATGAGTGGAAGATGTAGACATGAGGGTGCATCCCTAGTGTGAGGATACACCCAAGTGGATCATACCCCCTTCATGTTTGACTTAAAGTTACTACATAAAAGGAGGTGGGGGAGGTGTTGCACCTCTTCATGAGGAGGTTACCCTCTCATGAATGACATACACCATGCAGCATAAATGTGCCCATTCATGAGGAGATTACTCCTACATGAATGGGATGACCCTTTCTCTCATTATAAAAGGGGGAGAGGTAGAGGTCTCTACACATAACAACACATATGACAAATATGTGAGAGGTGTGAGAGCTCATCTTGAGAGAGTGAGAATGTGAGAAAGTGAGAGAGAGAGTACAATCCCTTTCCATTTGAGTTTTAAGAAAAGAATTAACCTTAAGAGATAGAGTTGTGCGCGAGAGTTGAGCTTGGACTGCTCCTCATACCACATTTATTGGAGTATTCGTGAACTTCTACCTCGCCCAGTATTTACGGTGCCGAACAGATTTCGTCAACTCTAGTAGTAATCGGATGTGCCTAGTGAGTTGATTATTCCTCTCTACATTCATTTACTAAATCTGTTTTACGAGCACTTAGGTATGATACTCGATTCCTAGTTGATTATTTTACTTCCGCTTCGGCCATTGGATCGTTATTTCTAGCGTTGACACTTTTTTATTTTGCAGGAAATGAAAGCTCAAGGTGTGGCAGAAGCTCAGCTAGAACTCCTGAAGGGTGTGAATGGGGCGTTTAGTCAAGGAGTTCTCAGTGCTTTGATGGGTGTTACTGCTTTGAAGATCGGACTTTTTTTTTCTTTTGCTTTCCCAAAAACTCCATAACCAATATTCCACGGTGTGAATTTATAATTGAAAACATTATCTCTCCCTTAAATCTGAATGTGAAATCATTCTCAATCCACATTATTCGTTCTCACAATCTCTCATCCATTTGTCGACTCCTATTTTAATGCTTTCCAATAAATTCTATAGCCAATAATCCACTGCGTAAAATTCTTGCAAGTTCAATAGTGACATAGAGAAAATCTTGAAAATTTATTCCACAACGTAAATTTCTAATCGAAAACTTTGCAAGTTAATTAGTGAGAGAGAGAGAAAATCATGAAAATTTAACTACCATCAGTTCATCAAATTCCTCATTTCTCATAGAGCATTCAATTGCCCACTATCAATATCTATATATTTTTAATCGTTAAGGGTAGTGATAGAGATTGAAATTCCCCTTAATTTATAGCACGTATTAAATAAGGACAGTTGTAAACGTTTGGGTCTTTGGGATATCAAGACAGTGAATATTCAAATTTTAAAAAAACCCAATAATCGCATTACTAACATTTCATATATTTGAATTATATATTATCCTGATATGTATATGTTTCATTATTCCCATATATCTCAGAATTAATTTAGATTCAATATTTTTTATTGTTTGGTTGATAAAATAAGAATATATATAAAACTAACATTATCCTGAGCATATTAACAAATATTTGTCAGCTATAGCTAAGTTTTCAAGCTATGCTTGTAATAGTGATCACAAGGACTAACAATGTTAAAAAACTTTGGATGTTCATCTAAACATTGAGAGAGACATAAGAGCATCAATCTAGGGAGAGATACACAAAGACATAACCCAAACATCAACATCCTGCCATAGTCAATTTGCATAAAAGAGTTATACTTTCATTGTCATTGCTACATTTCACAAAGCTATAATTTACATAAAAAAAAGTTTTACTTTCGTTGTCCCTGCTGCATTTCACAAAGCTACATCGCAACCCGAAAGCCCATCGACAATATCTTACATCGCAAAAAAGAAAAGAAAAAAAGAAACAAAAGCAAAAAGCAAAAACAATAAATTAAAATACTAAAAAAAAGATAAAAATCTAAAAAAAATAATATAAGG